CAGGATCCGCGTTTTCTCGCTTGGGCCGTTTTCATCAGCATGGAAATATACTCTAGAAATCCTGCTACGAAAACCCACAGGCAAACAGGCTCACAAAGCATCCTGACCCGGCGCTCCCGCCCAGATACCGGCCCCTGGCTCTGCCGGTGCTTGGGCAGAACCTCCCTGGCGCCCCCCAACGCGTTCCCGTGCGTCCTTCCGGGTCCCGCAGACGCGCGGTGTTTGGTCCCTCCAGGCTCTCCGAGCCCCTCTTACTAACATCCCCCACAGCAACCACACCTGCCCCTCCTGTCCTCAGCGCTGGCCTCCGGCAGCGGGGGGCCCGAGCTGCACGGCCCTCCCGCCTCAAACACCGACCCGCCCCCCCAGCCTCCCCGCCCACAGGGCCCTCCTCTCACGCTCCTGCGCCGGCACCTCCTCCCGGAGCATCTTCGCGTGGGGAGGGTCGCCCAGGCTCAGACGCGGTCCCGCCCAGTCCCGTGTCTTCGGTTACCATCTACGTCCTGAAGCTCCAAGTGCACGTCCTCGCCCTGGGCGCTCACTGCACCCGCATGGCCACCTGCCCGCACCTGTGTCCACTCGGCCGTCCAAATGCGGCTGTGCAAACGGATCACCTACGTCCCTCTGTGCCCCAGCCCACTCCTCGCCCGCCCCCCCTCACAGACGCCCAACGGTGGAGCCGAAATCCACGGGGTCTGCTCGTTCCCGTGGCCCCTCAGCCCACACCTAACCCTCCATGTGGCTTTGCAGTCTGCCTGCCTCTGCCCACGTCTACACGGCGTGCTCCTGTAGCCCTGCCAGCTCCGTCCGGTCCTGCCACGGCACGCTTCTCACCGGGCTCCCGATTACAAGCCAAACTTCAGTTTAAAAATGGAAATCAGATAATCTGACTTTTCAGTTTAAACGCTCCGCAAGTGGCGATTTTCGGTAGAATAAAGGCCGGCCGGCTAACAGTGACCACAAGGCACCACGACCCGCGTGAGCTGCCTGCCGCCCAGCTGCCACCCTCTGCGCTCCTGGGCACACCCACCCCTCCTGCCAAGCCTCGCCCCTACTTCTGTCTGCAGCACTTGCCCCATCGGCCTCCCCATCACTTCCTCTCAGAGTCCAGACTGAGGTCGGATGTCACCTCCTCAGGGAGGCCCTCCTCCCCCTACCCTCACCCACCTTTCTTCTCTTCCCAGCACCTGCTGGCTGGGGCTGGGGTTATTTATGAGGGGGGCCCGTCCCTCCTTTCCTGGAGTGTCGGCGCAGCGAGGACCGAGGCCTGCCTGTCCTGCCAAGTGTCCCCACCCAGTGCCTGGCCCACCGCCTGCCTTCCAGGGGACCTTCAGCGAACACGTGACCCATGACCAAAAGCTCAGTGGTGTCCTGAGATGTTCCAGGCACACATCCCAGGCCTGTTACTGGATGCAGATGACGACCCTGCTGCCCCAAGACCCAAGGTTCACCTGCATTTTCCCCTGTGGCTATTCAGACTTAAGGGGTCACACTGACTGGCTTTAGTCCTTGAAGCTCAGGGGAGTGTGAGTGTCTGTGTGAGGTCTGGGGCCCTACAAGTCTCCCTAAGCTGCCGTTTCCTCAGCCACAGAATGGGGTGATTTTTGTAAGGATTAAATGAGATAATCCAGGTGAAAATGAAGACCAGGGTTCGGTTCCTAGTTAAAACTAGGAGATAAAAGTTAGTTGCTGGTTTTGGGTTTTTTTTTTTAAATTTAAAAAAATTTTTTTTAAATTTTTGGCTGCCTTGGGTCTTTGTTGCTGCACGCGGGCTTTCTCTAGTTGCGGCGAGCGGGGGCTACTCTTCGTTGCGGTGCCAGGCTTCTCATTGCAGTGACTTCTCTTGTTACGGAGCACGGGCTCTAGACACGTGGGCTTCAGGAGTTGTGGCACGTGGGCTGAGCAGTGGTGGCTCTCGGGCTCTAGGGTGCAGGCTCAGTAGTTGTGGCTCACGGGCTCTAGAGTGCAGGCTCAGTAGTCGTGGCTCACGGGCTCTAGAGTGCAGGCTCAGTAGTTGTGGCTCACGGGCTCTAGAGCGCAGGCTCAGTAGTTGTGGCACGCGGGCTCAGAAGTTGTGGCTCTCGGGCTCTAGAGTGCAGGCTCAGTAGTTGTGGCACACGGGCTCTAGAGTGCAGGCTCAGTAGTTGTGGCACACGGGCTCAGAAGTTGTGGCTCTCGGGCTCTAGAGCGCAGGCTCAGTAGTTGTGGTGCATGGGCTTAGTTGCTCTGCGGCATGTGGGATCTTCCTAGACCAGGGCTCGAACCCGTGTCCCCTGCATTGGCAGGCGGATCCTTAACCACTGCACCACCAGGCAAGCCCCTTAGTTACTGTTCTTAAACTGAAATTTCCTCGTTATCATTCTAAAAGTTGCTGCACAAGGCAGTGAAATTTAGACAGTTTCCAACTAGTAGGTTGTTAAACTTTTAGGGAAGGTTTCCTCAAGGTTTTTAAATCTACAGAAAACTTCCTACCCTCCGGTACCCACCTCCACCCGCATACTGCACGCTGACATAGCAACAGCAATGTGGTTTAGGGACAACAGAGATATTCCTAAGTCTAACTTAGTGCTGCAGTGAGGAAAACATAAACACTTCTTCCTTTCAGTCATAATAGGAGCCTAAGAATTTATGTGAAATTCTCTTCCATTTCATGTAATTGTTCTTAGGGATAAGAATACACCAAAACGAGGCTTTAAAAAAGTTATCACCCATACTTCATGGGGACAATGGGCCAGTTTCCTAACGCACTTCCCAGGAGGCTTAGGAGGCTGACGCTTAAGGGCTCCTTATTCCGGCTCTGCCCAGACCCCTCCTCGCCTCAGCACAAAGATCTGAAGCCAGACCCGCAGCTGGTGGGCCGTCCAAGCCAGTGCAGGGTCCTCGGGTGCAAAAAGGGACACTGGGAACACCCGCCACCTCTGTGGAGCCCTGGGCATGGACCACGCGTGGCAGGTAGAACTGGGGGTGCTTTTCCCACATTAAGTAGTTCGTGCAGAGACCCCAAAGGCAGGAGAGGACTGCACTGCAGGGGCTTCTACGTGGCAGAGTTCAATTTAATGAAATAAAGACCATGGCATGCATGTTTTGGACCTCCAGAGTCAGACCCTGGAGTGGTTTCCAAGGCAGAGAAATAGTTCCTCTTATTCTATGAAAGTTAGTGTGTCTTATATACCTTGCAGCTAATCTTTTAAGTTCACTGGTATCCTTATAACACTTTAAATATCTCTGTTATATCACTTATAACATCACTTACTTTATATTCTTTTTTAAAAAATGTGTCCATCTGGGCTGTTGGATTGGGAACTCCTTGATAGCAGGGCCCATCCCCATCATATCTGCACCACGCTGTCTGGCACAGAGCAAGGCCTTAATAAACGTGGCTGGATCGAGCTGGTAGACTAGTACGTAAAACTGACGTGATTTAATGTCTGTAGTACAGAAGCAATCCACACTGAAGTACCCATTTCTAGCAACCTTGAAAGCAAATAAAGCATTTAATTTTAAGCAGCTCTAGTTGACCTTGGTTTCGAAAGACAAATCTGACCATCATTAACAAACGGGTTTTGTTTTTTTTTTTAATGGAAGTTTAACTTTTCTCCTCTGTATTCTAAAATGCTTCAAGAAGTTTGCTCCACAGCCAGCCCATGACTGATACTCACTGCTCACTTATTAAATGCTAAAAATCTTTTTGCCATTCTTTTCCTGTTCATTTAGCACTTTGAGATACACGTGACATAGCGAATAGGATATGGGCCCTGGAGTAAGACGGACTGGGTCCAAATCCTGGAGTGACTTTGGACAGGTCCCTTTCACCTCCCCAGGCTCAGTTTACCCATGTGTAAAAGGGGACCCTGATAACACCTCACAGGTTCACGGTGAGGTTTAAGTGACCATGTCTGCACGTGTGTGTACATATAAGTGCCATGTAGTATCACTTATTGTTAATACAGAAGGTTTGCTCTTATTAGCAGGACAAAGTCCCCGAAGGAGCTCACAGACGCTTGCAAAGACAATGCAGGGGACCTTCTTATTAAAAGTAAAGGCACATAGTTTTAGTTGGCAGTAACAGTTACTTGTAAATTTTTCTTCTTTTATTTTTACCAGTTCTTACAAGGGCTATAAATAATGGTTCACATCTTGCTTTCTTCTACTTTAAAAAACAAAGAAATTTAGTGCTATTAAAGAGTAAAAAAAAATTTAGTAAAAAGATGAAGATTAACGTACTGGAGACCTCGAGGATTTCAATTTTCTCTCTGTGTTCCGACTACTATTTTTAAATGCAAGCAATTACAAGGCTACTCACCAATTTATGGCTTTAGGGACACAGAACACTGGTGTTTAAGCCACTTCCCACTTAAGTGATTGATAGTGATAAAAATGCAACAGTGATGTAAACTATATACTTTGAAAGCAAGTTTTCTAATTCCCTATAGGCTGAGTCTCGTCAAAAATGAATTGTTAGAACAATAGAGATAGTCTACTCTCTGCCCACCCCTCTTTAATGCAACATTGATTCTGGAAATTTTTTGACCTAGTGATTACAAGTTCATGGTACACTTAGCAGAAATAGCAGCATCCTAACAAAAAAGGAAAAGTTCTAGAATCTAATAGAAATGAGAACATTTAAAAATACTCAACTGCTTAATATCCCTGTGAATGATCTCCTAAGTCTTTGAGAGTTTAACTTTGGTTGACAGGTCTAGTATTTCTAGTATTTTAATATGCCCACATTCTTCGTCCACCAGAGAAACCAGAAATAAGTTGGACACTTAGTATTCTAAATAAATTCACGTAGCTGAAATGTTTTAAATGAAAAGGAACAAATGTTGACATCAGACATTGTCGACGTACACGTACACCCAAGTGTCAGAGCCACTCGATTTATCTGTCCTGGAGGACAAATGAGGTTTGACTCACAACGTTGGAAAACCACGTTCACAAGAAGCAATGGGCTCCTGCCCACTCGGCTCTCCACGCCCCCACCCCACATCCCTGGGTACCTTCAATGAACACCTCGGCCGATGTGGTGTCAGAGCCACCGGGGTTCGCGGCCAGGCAGGTGTAGCGCCCTGTGTCGTCCTCAAAGGCCTCGGCTATGACCAGCGTGTGCAGGTCGCCCCCGTCCCAGCGGATCTGGATGTCGGGACTGTCGTGCAGCTCGATTCCCTCACAGAACCATCTGCTGGCCAAACGGAAGTCCCAGGACAGGAGGGAGAGAAAGGAAAAGGGGACGTTTAAAATAATAAAGCAGAAGTGAAAGGCGAGATGCTATGTAACGAGATGCCTGTCTGATAAAAAAAAAAAAAGACCTGTGTCCGTGTTACTGACCTTACTAAATGCTATTACATTTGAGACCATGAAATGCATGGCTAGACAATTCCCATGCGTTTTCTTGGAAATAAGGGACATCATCACACTGCGAAAGACCATTTCAGTTACAAAATGAAAGGAACACAAGTTCCAAGTGTCTTACAAAAATGTTTTATCACCAGTGCCTCTCACGTCTATTACAATTTTATCTATTGTTCTTATCTAAAGAAAAATATGAAAGTAATATAAATATTGTGCTCAAAATAATGTACAGTATCAAGGGAGACGTTGTCATGTTACAGACCCTGGGCAGCAATGTTCCTGTTGACATGGTCAGCTGGGCAGGAACAGAGTTAACGCCTTCCACATTTCCGATATTTAGAGAACCTTCCAGCAGCGTGCCCCGCCCCCATGATGCGGGCAGGGGCAGCAGTGCTCTGTAATTCATTCTTGCTGGTCTCACCCCTTCCCACCGACCAGGCCCTTGGTATGGGAGGTGGCAGGTGGCCAGACTGTTTCTATGCGGGTTCCCCCTCACACCCTTTCCTTTATTCCCTGAGCACCTCCAACTCTCAACAGGATTTTTACAAAAAAATACGAAGCTGCCCTAACCCTCCTCCCCACAAATGTGATTTAGTTTTAAAGAAATACGAAGGAACGTGCCACTGACAACTAAAAGGACTGAAGTCTCTGGGACAGAATTGTCCATTTAGCTCTTTATCAGCACTGAGAGATTTTCCCTGAGTCTGATCCTCTATAAAATTCTTTGGACTTGGCATCCTTTTTATGTCAGTGAAAACTAACCTTTCCTGCATTGAGATAGCATAATATAGGCTTCTGTCTATATTCAGTCTGAAAGTTAAGTTAATAAAACAAGCCAGTTTGCTAATACTTAGCATATTAACTCCAGAAACTATATTAAAAAAAATAAGTACGGGATATTTGGAAACGAACAGACATGACTTCGGGAATTAAAAACCATATAAAGGGCTTCTCTGGTGGCGCAGTGGTTGAGGGTCCACCTGCCGATGCAGGGGACGCGGGTTCATGCCCCAGTCCAGGAAGATCCCACGTGCCGCGGAGCGGCTGGGCCCGTGAGCCATGGCCGCTGAGCCTGCGCGTCCGGAGCCTGTGCTCCGCAACGGGAGAGGCCACAGCGGTGGGAGGCCCGCGTACCACAAGAACAAAAACAAAAAAAAACATATAAAAGAACCAGCCAACTGAGCATCTATGCAATGCAAGGTATATCGCTTTTGAGGCAGTTAAGAAGGGCAGTATTTCATGATTCTGAGTAGTCTGTGATTTCCTTTGTTTTCGTAAAGTCTTGGAGAACATTCTGGCCGAGAACCATTTTCTAGTCCCTCCTTCTCTGCTCTTTCCACAATCACAGGCCAGATCCTCACCCCGCCCGCCCCCCCCGCCCGGAGAACTGTCTATGGCTCCAGGGTTACTTGACCTGAAGTCTTTTAATTGATCTCTTCATCCCTGGCAAGCTATGGAGTCTTTATCCTGTGGCAGGTGAAAGCACTCGACACTCTTCCCTACGTGAACCATTCCCTAAACTTTAGATCTTTATTGTCTGCTTTCCTATAACTTGACCCAGGTTTTCTTTTCTATCATGTTCCTATCCGAATCCTGTTTCTGTCAGATATCTGCGTGGAGTTCTCGTTTCCTATGCAGCCCTCATGTATGACCTGCTTCCTCTCTGCTCCCTGCAATTCTCCCCTCACCCTCTGTGCCCATCCCACCCTGGAGCTGCTCTCCTCACAAGCAAGCGAAAGGTGCCTTCAACAGACTCAGCTCTACTGAGCACACGCTTGCCGGGCATCTTCCACGTGGACGGCACCACGTCAGGTACTAGAGGCCTGGAAGAGTCGAGCCTGGTGGACTCTGTAACCGGCCAGAGTCTAGGTGTCTGTACGTTACCTAGGGTGAGTTACGCTGCCATAAAAAGATAAGAACCAACTGTCAGAGGGAAAATGAGCAAGAAAAAACGCAATTAAGGTTTAAAAGAGAGGACGATTGATTGCCTTGGTTAGATAAGCTCCTTGGGACACCCCTGCCGGCCACCCCAGGGCTGTGATACCCTGACCTCAGGCTGTGCACACAGCCTGCAGGCCACCACCTGCTTTCCTGAGGCCCGTGAGCCAAGCAATGGTTTCCATGTTTTTAAAGGTGAGGAAAAAAATTAGAAGAGTATTTTGTGACACATGGAAATTATATAAAGGTCAGATTTCAGAGTCTATAAACAAAGTCTTGGGGGATCACAACCGTGCCCTTGAACTAACACAGTGTCTGTGGCCACCTTCGTGCTGCAGCGACAGCTGGGTTGTTGGGCCAGACTGCATGGCCCACAAATCCTGCAACAGTTATTATCTGGATTTTACAGGAAAAGTGTGGTCCTTGGACCAGTGGCATCAGCACCATTTAGGAGCTTGTTAGAAATGCAGAATCTCTGGAGGTCTCGCAGAAAACTACAAATAGAACTACCACACGATCCAGCAATCCCACTCCTGGGCATATACCCTGAGAAAACTATAATTCAAAAAGATGCATGCACCCCAATGTTCTCTGCAACATTGCTTACAACAGCCAGGACATGAAGACAACCTAAGTGTCCATCAACAGAGGAATGGATAAAGAAGATGTGGCACACATATACAATGGAATATTACTCAGCCTTAAAAAAGAATGAAATAATGCCATGTGCAGTAACATGGAAGGACCTGGAGATGATCACAGTAACTGAAGTAAGTCAGGCAGAGAAAGACAAATATCCTATGATATCATTTATATGTAGAATCTAAAATATGACACAAATGAATCTGTCTATGAAACAGAAACAGACTCACAGACATAGAGAACAGACTGGCGGTTGCCAAGGGGGAGAGGGTAGCAAAGGGATGGATTGGGAGTTTGGGGTTAGCAGATATAAGCTTTTATATATAGGATGGATAAACAACAAGGTCCTACTGTAGAGCACAGGGAACTCTATTCATTATCCTGGGATAAACCATCATGGAAAAGAATCTGAACAAGAATGCATATGTATATATATATATATGTACAACTGAATCACTCTGCTGTACGGCAGAAATCAACACAACACTGTAAATCAACTGTACTTCAATAAAAACATTAAAAATTTAAAAAAATAAAAGAAACGCAGAATCTCGACCACCATCCCAAGCCCACTGAGTCGGTTCAGACCCCAGTGATTCACATTCACGTGAAGGGGAAGAAGTTCCGGTCTGTCACGCGTGGACCAGGCCAGCCTGCATCACGGGGCCTGCATCGTCACTTCTTGAGCAGAGAAGCCGTATTGTATGTGTTCTGTATCTGCAAAAATATGTTCTGTTTGTTTCTCTCTCCTCTACACTCAAAAAATTGTAGCCTTATTCACTTGACAATTGATAACTATGTCACTTCCTATCCTCCGTGGTGTTTCTTTATATCACTATTTGAGGCCTAATGCATTTAGGCCTTACTGCCTCATCCAGGAAATGGACTCTCTTTCATTGATCCATAGTGTACTGCACCTAGTTGGTGCTTTAAAAATACTTACTACCTGCCACTTGTTACTTTAGAATATGCTGCCCAAGAAAACAACAAATGGTGAAGGCTCTGTGGCCTAACAGATTTGGAAGATGCTACCTATTATATACATGTATATGTATATATCGCTCCTTCATGTAATTAAGATTTTCTTATTAAAGGCCCTGAGAAGTCCTGCAGAAAACAAATTAGTTTAATGTTGTTTAAGCCAGCATTCATTCATCTTACTTGGCCATGCGACTCTTTCTCATTTTGCATCTCCTAACATCCCGTGTGTATGTTGCACGATGCTTTTCTGGCACATTCATCCCATACAGCCTGCGTTTTTTAAAAACTGAATTAAGACCAATTATAACCTGGGACTTCCCTGGTGGTCCAGTGGTTAGGACGCGATGCTTTCACTGCCATGCCCCAGGTTCGACCCCCTGGTCGGGGACCTAAGATCCCGCAAGCCGCATGGTATAGACCAAAAAAAAAGGACCGATTATAATCTGAGCAATGATGATAAGTGTAAGCCTGAAGAACATGATCGGTAAGCACAATAAAGTACTTGAACTACACTGAACACTGGCAAAAAGGTTCAGGTACAAATGCACTCTGGCCACAGCCTAACACACCTATCTGGTCTTGGGGATGGTGCCTCGTGACACCAACATGGCACGTGGTGACGTGGGTGGTCCTTACAAACCCCAGGGATGACTTGGCTTTTGCTTTTTAAACACTCATGCTTTTTGTTCTCTAGCTCCACAGATGACATTTTTAAAGCATCTTAGGTTGTAGCACGTAGAAGAAATAGCGCAGACAAAAGACTAAATTTGTCGATCAGGCAGCAAGCCATGGAGGAAATTATTTGATGAAAGGTTAAGTCATGAACAGCTTTGCTTCTTTGAAGGGTCCGAGGATATCGCGGTGTTTCTGAGGCTATGCACCCACGTCGGGTCCCTGACCTTGTCATGACCCCCACTGAGTCCTTCACCTTCTACGGAATGAGCTCTGCCCCTGCCGTCCTCTCCCACAAGGACAGAGGCTTCGGCGGGGCCCGACCTCATGGCCGTGCTCACACAGCTCCCCAGGGCTGTGAGCTCCAGCCCCGCATCCACACACGGCTCCTACTTGGCACGTCTTTAACCGTCTGTGTTTCTGACGCTTTGACGTGCTGGCCTGGCTGACCTCAGAGACGTGGCCCCTCCCAGGGCTGCGGGTTCCTGGAGACGGTAAGTGACACCTTCAGGCTCCTTTCCAGTAAGACTCACCAACCCAGAGCCCATCCCCCACCCCCCACAGACCCTCCCACTCGGGCCACCGTGCACCTGC